GACCTTGTAATTTAAGAATAGCTGGACATTTGTGTTTTTATGCAAAGCACTTATCTCAGTTGGCAGCTAACTTAGTTTTGTTAAGAAAATGTAGTGCAGGTCAAATTTACACCTTTTGTGGGCTCTTTTCTGGTCGTTAAGATCTAGTTTTGCAAATTCCAGAATTTTCAGGCTTAACTGTGTATTATAGGACATGCCTAGAGAATGCCATCAGATGCGGATCGGATGGCAAATACCTGGTTTTGCCGCTGCTAACTCCCCCTTCTAGTGCCAGTGACAGATATCAGTAATGGATGATATCACTCTTTCCTGCTAGCTTGGAGAAAAATTCAGGATAATTCTGTACCAGGGCTCACAAAAGCCATGACCAGTGAATGAGTTGTGTCCTCTGATATGTAAGGTATTTGTCATTCCTGTTCTAGAGGGTTCTCCGTTAAATATTTTGGGGATTAACGTAGAAAAATGACTTTACACTTTTTACCGTAGGACTTTATTCTTAAAGAATACTTGCTAAAAGTTGCTCCTAACTAAAGAATGCTTGCGAAAACATGTATCAGAAATAACAAATAGGAAGAAAAAGGGTAAGATTCTGTTCAAACGGGAATATCAGATTTTAAAGGTTTATATATTATTTTAGAGAGAGAGAAGGGGGGTGGGGGTGGTTGGGGCAGAGGGAGAGAGAGAGGGAGAGAGAAACTCAGGCAGGCTCCTGCCGAGTGTGGAGCCCGATGCAGGGCTCAATCCCACAATCCTGAGATCATGACCTGAGCCAAAACCGAAAATTGGACGCTTAACCGACTGTGCCACCCAGGTGCCCTGTGGCAATATCAGATTTCAGATTCAAACTAAAGGAATTGAAGAATATCCAAAGTTGGATGTGTCCTTAAAGGTCATTTAGTAGCGTTCCTTCCCTGAACTTGGATTTCTGGTCTGGTTTTTTTTTCCCACCAACCTGTGCAAAGTAATGTGAATAGTTATAAAGGGGGTTTCCTCCTTTTTTCCCCTTCTTTTACTGCCTTTGACCCTTATGCACAGTTATTGTAGCGTAACATGTTCAGAATTTAGGAATTCCATATATGGAGATGTGCCATCCGGGATGCACATATTTTTGGATTGTGTGTGTGACGTGAGCATGATATGCCCTAGGTGAAACATGCTTCATTGCCCATTGTGATCACAGGGAACTTTGCAACTTTTTGTCTTCCTTTATCACTTCTTACTCTTCCCTTTGGGGAAGACAAGTATGGTCTTTCAAGTTTGATCTTCTCCAAGAATTCTGCTCTACCCATTCTAACCTTCACTAAACCTGTCCCTTCTCTAAACTTCTTTACTATTAAGACCTACACTAAATGAGCAGTGTAATGCTTTATTATGTTATTTGGCTTAATTTGCGGGTTTTTTTTTTTTACCCTCCTCAATTAACATTTTCTTTTTTCCTGCCATCAAGCCCAGAAAGGACTGTAAATGGCTGTGAACAGAGCATTTTGTTTTTAAGTAAGCAGTTAAGTACAATTGAATGCCTTCTATGTGCCAGTTAGTAGGGCTCTAAATATGGATGAAACAGAAAAATGGACACTCCCCTTAAAGACCGGAATCTAGCTTCTAATGGAATTTAAACTGTCCTTTTTCTAGTAATCAGTGATGAACATTTATAACTTCACTGGAAAGAAAGCTCCACTGGGGCAAAGCTCTTTGATTCATTCATTGATAGAGCCCAAGTGCCCAGGTCGGTGCCTCATATATAGTAAGTGCTTAATAAATATTTTGTAAATGAACTTACATTATAAATTTTTATATAGGGCAATCCCTGCAGGACTGTTCATGTAGGCGGATCACATTGTATGCCTTTCACTTCATTTACGTGTCTCTCCCCTCCTGTACCCCAGACACGTTGTTCTCCTCCCAGAAAAGTCAGTCTTGAGTATCCTTCTAGAATAGAATATCCTTCTAGAATATTACCTGTACATATATACATACCTGTGTATATATGTTTGTATTTTTTTATACAGATTATAGCCTGTCAGTTTCTTTCTCTTCAAAATGTATCAGATAGTTTTGTATCAGTGCATAGTCATATTACTTTTAGTGGTTACATAATATTTTATTGCCTGCACATTTTGTAATTTATTTAACCAGAAACTTATTGATGGATATTTAGGTTCCTTCCTTCCTCCCTTCCTCCCTACCTCCCTACCTCCCTCTCTCCCTCTCCTCCCTCTCTCTCTCCCTCCCTTTCTTTCTCTCTTGAGAGAGAGAGAGCGTGGGCATGCGTGCATGCACGTGAGTGGGGGCAGAGGGAGAGGGAGAGGGAGAATCCCAAACAGGCTCCATACTCAGTGTAGAGCCTGGTTGACTCGGGGCTCGGTCCCATGACCCTGAGGTCATGACCTGAGCCGAAATCAAGAGTCAGATGCTTAACTGCCTGAGCCACCCAGGCACCCCTATTTAGGTTATTTCTGATCTTTTGCTCTTGTAAACAGTGGTACAATAAACATCCTTCCTCAAAAGTCATTTTGCAACCTCCGCAAGTAGGAATTTGAGGATACATTCAAAGTTCAAAGTGTTTATGCATTTATAATTTTGATAAGTATCATCAGATTGTTCTTTACAGAGAGTGTGAGTATGCCATTTTGCTACACTCTTACTGATATTATTATTTATCAAAGTGTTTGATCTTCTCTGATCTGATGGCTTAAAAATATCTGTTATGGCTTTAATATGAATTTCTCTTATATGAATAAGTTTGAACATCTTTTAAATGTTTACATACTTATTTCCTTTTATGTGTTCTGTCTTCATAACTTTTGCCCATTTTTCTGTTTGAGTATTGATCTTTATCTTATTGATGTGCAGTAGTAGCTCTTTATATATTAAAAAGTATTTCCCTGGCTATGCTTGCTTGTTTATATTTCCCTGTGATTTATAGAATCAGCTTGTCTAGTTACCAACCCCACTTAACTAAAAATCAATCCTGTTGGTGTTTTTATTGGGTTTGTGTCAAATTTATAGACAAATTTAGGGAGAACTGACATTCCCATGGTGTTCAATTTTACATCCCAACAACATAATATGTCTTTACATTTGTTTAAATTTTTGTGTCCTTCAATAATATTTTTAAGTTTTTTTTCTTATAGACAATACACGTTTAAGAATCTTGCTGGATGTTTTAATAAGCACACATTTGTAGCTAGCATTTTCTTTTTTTTTAATATGCATTTTTTAAAAAATTTTTTTCCAGAGGTACAGATCTGTGATTCATCAGTCTTAACAGAATTCACAGTGCTCACCATAGTACATACCCTCCCCAATGTCCATCACCCAGCCACCCCATCCCTCCCAGCCCCCACCACTCCAGCAACCCTCAGTTTGTTTCCTGAGATTAAGAGTCTCTTACGGTTTGTCTCCCTCTCTGGTTTCGTGTTGTTTCATTTTTCCCTCCGTTCCCCTATGATCCTCTGTCTTGTTTCTCAAATTCCTCATATCCGTGAGATCATATGATACTTGTCTTCCTCTGATTGAGTTATTTCACTCAGCATAATACCCTCTAGTTCCATCTACATTGTTGCAAATGGCAAGATCTCATTCCTTTTGATGGCTGCATAATATTCCATTGTGTATATATACCGCATCTTCTTTTTCCATTCATCTGTTGATGGACATCTAGGCTCTTTCCATAGTTTGGCTATTGTGGACATTGCTGCTATAAACATTGGGGTGCACGTACCCCTTCGGGTCCCTACATTTGTGTCTTTGGGGTAAATACCCGGTAGTGCAATTGCTGGATCGTATGGTATGTAGCTGACATTTTCTTAATTTGACTATTGCTTGGGATATATTTTTCCTGCTTGATTAGCAGATAAATAATAATATTATTTGCAAAAAAAGCACCTTTTCTTATGAGAAAAAAACAAACTTTTTCTTTTGTCTGATTATGGCTCATTTATTATGCAACTCCAGAGAGCACACTTGTGTTGGTCATTCCTTCCAGAGTAGTGATGAGTCATTGTGGTGATAAAGGACATTATTTCCTAATTCTTAACTTTGGGAAGATTTCTAATGTTTCCCTATTAAAATAATGATGCTGGCTTTGTGGTTGAGAGAGATCTGTATTTTATTGTGTTAAGGAACCTGGCCATTTATTATTTTATTGATGTTTTGATTATGGAAGGATGTGTTTTACTGAATATTTTGTGTATCTCTGGTGACTCTTTGTTTTTATCTAAGAATATGATGAATTTTAAGTGTAAGCCTTTGCATATTGAACTATCCTTGTATTCCTGTGATAAGTTCTACTTGGTCATGGGATGTTATTCTTTTAATATGCTGTTGGATTTGGGTGCTGTTTCCCTATATTTAAGAATTTTGCATTGATTCTCAGATGTGAGATTTGTGTGTGTGTGTTTTCTTTTTGGATTTTGATACATATTATTCTGTCTTCATGAAAAGAATTTGGAAACTTTTCTTTTTCTGTGCTCTTAAAAAATTTAAAGTATATGGAAATAATCCACTCCTTAATTGTTTGGTAGAATTCTTCTTTGAAACTCTTGACACTTACTTTTTCCTAAGAGATGGTTCTTTATCTTTATCTTTTTATGGTTTCATTAGCTTTTCTCTCCTGGGGATGATTTTGGTAGTTAATATCTTCCTAAAAAACTGTCCATTTAATCCAGATTATCTAATTTATTTGTGTGGACTTGAATAAATCATCTTTTAGTGTTCTTGGTATCTGTGGTTATTTCCTCATCACTTAAAGATTTTTTTGATTAAAGAATAAAAGACTTAGAGATTAAAGAATAAAAGAAAAAAATATTTGAAAGAATGTGCTTTTTTAAAAAAATATGATGTAAAAGGATATAGTTCACTTCCTATCCTTTTTTTGTTAAATTAATTTAATTTTGTTAATTTTGTTAAAACTTAATTATTCCTGAGCTAATGATTATAAAACCCAGAACCTGAGAGGATACATTTCCTTTCTGATCCCACTCTTCTCTTTTTAACAGGCCCAGAAGAGGAAAGTGAGGATGACCCTCAGCTCGAAGGCAGAGACCCTGATACTTGGCATGTCGGTTTTAAGATCTCGTGGGACATAGAGACTCCTGGCTTGGCAATACCCCTTCACCAAGGAGACTGCTACTTCATGCTTGGTAATTAGGAGGGTCAAAACTATATTGATACTCTGGTGTCTTAAGTTTAGATTACTGGCTACATATTTGGAATATATCTTTTTTTTTTAAGGTTTATTTATTTATTTTAGAGAGAGAGTGTGTGTGTGTGTGAGCGAGTGGGGGAGGGGCAGAGGGAGAGACTCTCCAAGCTGACTCCCTGCCGAGCGGGAAGCCCAATGTGGGGCTCTGATCTCACGACCCATAAGATCATGACCTGAGCTGAAAGCAAGAGTCAGATGCTTAACAGACTGAGCCACCCAGGTGCCCTTAGAATGTGTCTTTTGAAAGAAGCTTTTTAGGTATTTTATAGCGATAGTGACTCTTCTACATGGAACTAGTATTTTTGTTTTTATTCCCTCATTTTTCTAGGTATTGCTCATTTGTAAAAGTTGCTTTTTTTTTTTTCTCCCCCATTCTGATTGTTTATGGAGTTCCCCAAATGTGCTAAAGAGTTTCCAGGACTTTTCCTCAGAGTTACTCAATCATCCAAATGAGCTTATTAGTGTGAGGTAGTAAAATGATTTCCCTCTGTATATAAATTCTTAGTGAAAGTTTTTTCAGATTTGAATTTAGTTTCTTCTCAGGAGTGGCTGACCTGACCACAGGGCCTTTCTTTCCACTTGTCCCTGAGTTCTTTGGGAGCAGGATTTCAGCTGTGCTTAGGCTAACCCACAATGCTGTGGCATTTTTGCAACTTTTGTTTTTGGCTCTTTGCTCTGTTTTGTTTGGGGTTTGGACTTTCTACTTGTTTTCCAACGCACAGCATAGAGATGGTATCCTTTCTTACTCCTGCCTGGGGCGGGGGGGTCTAGTCATATTGGCTTTAGAACTGGGGAGCCCCAAGGCTCAAAGTGGACATTTATGAGAAGAATTATTCTCAATTAATTGAGTGTATGTAGAGGGCCTGCTATGTTCTCCATGCTGTGTAAGGTTCTGGATGGACGGATAAAACTTGGTCCTTGCCTTCTAGAAAATCAGAGTTTGGATTAGCTCTTTAGGTCACTAACTCATTAAGCATTTTCCAAATTACAGTCATTTACATGTCAGCTTCAAGGTTCTCACCATATCCCTGTGCTACCTGGACTGTTACTTACGTAATATTTTTCTCTAAATAAATTCACTTTTTTTCACTGAAGTGGATTTACTTTAGAAGGAGATTTTATAACACTGTCTTAAGCGGAAGACCAGTATCACTTGGTTTATAATTAGAAGAGGTTTATAAATATAGAGAGAAAGTGAAACAGTATTAAGGACCTGCTACTTTTGTTGGCTGAAGATCCGGAGTCCTGTTCTGTCTTTGTTAAAAGAGATACTTGTCACTGTTAGAGAGGTGTTAACTGTATAATGGTACCAATCAGAGACTTTCTCCTTGTCAGCAGCAAGATGGGAAGATCATTATGTAGGGAATTACTTTCCCATGGTGTGTGTGATTCAGTGGTGCTTAACATTGTGTCCCTTTACCTCTTCAGCTCTTCTCATGGGCTGATTACCACCTTTGCTGAACGCTGATCTAAGCAAGCCCTGCATCTCTTGCTTTCCATTTGCATGTTGCTCTATAGTTTATGATTCAGTTTCACATAAGCAGCCTCATTCACTCTGCAAACAAGCTTGTGAGGGAGATGGTATGGAGATTGTTCTTTTCTTAACTAATTTGCCTAAGGTGACTGGGTTGGTACAGGGGATTAGGGTGGTTTGCAGGTTTCATATATAGTGCTTTTCCTGCTCTAAAAGGGACCATTTCGACTTTATTCCATTACACTGAAATCTCTGTGTGGGAACATTTTTAGGCTGAAGGTCATCTCCTCCTGAGACCCTCTCCTGCTTGCCTCGTGAACTTAGTTTTTATTTTGAAGTCTCTGCTCCGTCGGCGAGCATCATTTGTAGGTCACAGATTATTACTTATTTTTTATTTAATTAATTAATTAATTAATTTTTTAAAAATATTTTATTTATTTATTTGACAGAGAGAGACCCAGCGAGAGAGGGAAGAACACAAGCAGGGGGAGTGGGAGAGGGAGAAGCAGGCTTCCCGCTGAGCAGGGAGCCTGATGCGGGGCTCGATCCCAGGAGCCCGGGATCATGACCTGAGTCGAAGGCAGATGCTTAACGACTGAGCCACCCAGGCGCCCTTATAACTCATTTTTTAATGTATCACCCAGATGTGGATATTTACCTTGAGTATAAATGGGTTTTAGTTTCAGCCAATAAACCACTTGCCTTTGGTTACTTTGTTCACGAGTTTCTGTTAGCAGTTTGTATCTTTAAAAGAAGTGAGAGTCATTTGGTGCCATTCTAAATTGCTATATTAATTTTCTGCATGTAGAAATAGTAAATATACATTTTAGAAGTTCATCTGCCATCCATTTATTTAAGAACATCTTGTGTGTTCTTTTCTGATTATGAAAGTAAAATACATGTTCATTGTAGAGAAAAGAAACACTGAAAAGTATGAAATGAAAGAAGAATATAAAAATCAGATTCATACCTGTCTTGATATATTCTTTTTCAGTCTTTTTTCTGTACATATGTGTATCTGGAATAATAGTATGTGAATAACCACATTTACTGGGGACTAACAACAAGTCAAGCATTCTTTTAATCATCTCCATAACACTAAAAAGTAGATGATCGTTAAATTGCACAAGAATCAGTTCAGGTTAAATTGATGTAGTGACATAGCCATGGTTACACAGTTAGTGGGGTGTGTGGATTGGAACTTGTTCTTTTGTCCCATTTGGGCTCTGACACCCACGTCAAACTACCCGCTTCCTCCTGTGGGCGCTGACCCCCACACTGGGCTCCTGTCTCTCCCTCACCGTGATGCCTCTGCTTCACCTAAAGGCTTTAGGACTAAATTTTTCAGGAAGGAAAGAGAAGAAGATGACAAGAGTGTTCTGTGTGCTTCTTTCTTTTCCCTGTCTTTTTAAAGTTATGTTTCTCTTGCCTCAGAAATAGATTAATAACAAAAATACTGTATGTTATAATGAATATACATTTTTAAATATACATTTGTCCCTTTAGCTACTGTAGGTGATAAACCGAAGCAAGCGCTATTATTTTATGGGAGCTGATACCCAAGACCTAATACCCGTTCATGGTTTCCCAGCTCCTGTGTTCAGATCCAGCGGAAATAGCTGGTAACTTACTGATCTGGGCCAGGCACGGCACAGTGTACCCAAAGTGTGCTTTTAGAATATATTCATTTAGAATGTATTTTCTTTATTATTTATTGTTATTAAAGAAAATTATTCTTTTCTTTATTAAGATGTCGCAATCAATTTCTAAAAGGAGCTTTCCTCCATCTCCTCTTAAATAAAATCAGGCAAAAATAAAAGCAACCGTAGCCTCTTGCTGCCTTTTTTCTCTTTACTTTTTAGAATCCAAATCCTACAAGGAGCCCTGTGGAGGGACCTCGGCTGTGTGCTGATACCTGAAATCTGAACTTCATAGCACTTATGAAAAGGAAACAGTTTAGCTCCATTTATAATAATATATTGGTCTACAGAGGAAGTGCAGGCTGAACCCTGCTGTCTCAAGTAAATACTCCAGGGGGTCTGATGGGGAACGTGTCGGGTGCCTGTAATAAATCCGCTGCCTGTGGAAGTAAGTCAAGGCCCTCCTGGCAGTGCCTAAGGACACGCTTAACCGGGGTTGTCACGGTTTTACTTTTAAATTGGAATCTTTGCCCTAATCTCAGAGTTAGACATGACCAGATTTGCAAACAGATTTACAATTTTCACTAATTTTCCAACCAGGACCTCAAAATACACGTAGAGGGGGGAAAAATACACGCTGGTCTTTCTCAGAGTAGGATGATTTACTTTGCCACAGATGTTTTCCATAGACTGAATGTAACCAGGGAGTTAGGGACTTAAAAAGTGGCTTGGAGACAAACTGTGGGTTTATTTTTTGTGGAACAGATTATACAGTTCAAGGGACATCAACCAAATTATGTTCATTAACCAGGAGCCAGGTGTGGAGATGGGTTGTGTCAGGACAGAGGTGAGTGTTAGACATTTGGGGCAAACCTTCTTATCTGCCTCCCCCCCCTTCATTTATTACTTTTTCCTTGTCACTCTTCATTTCTCTGCTCTCTCTGGCTTCTTTATTTTCGTTTCCTTCAGTCCAAATTAAATCTCATTTTCAAAGAGCTATCTCAGAGCTTCAGCTGCCAAGTAAAATTTCCATGCCCCCCCCCCCAAAGAAGCAACGTAAATTGAAATGCATGCTGCTGCTTTTTTTGGTTTTGCTTTCCTTCACCAACAGTTTGGGGCAGAATGATGAAAGGCCATTTCCTGTCAGGTGACCACGTTCCAGACCCATGGCATTGTCTCTCTTGGCTGTGCGCTGTTTATCTTTCTCCCGAGTACTTCTTGATACTCGCTTCGCAGGGTTCCTGGGAGGCCAAAGAAGAAGTGCTTTGCAAGCTATGATTTGCATGTGGGGGCCGACTCTGAAGACTGGGAGGAGCGAGCGGGGCCATGGCATTACGGGAGAGCCAGCGAGGCGAGTGGGTGACAGAAGAGCACTGAGTGTTGTTTCCTTATCCTGCTTTCTGCCAGTTTGGCACGTCACCGTTCCATACATGTGTTTCCATGACCACATAAAGGAACCGAAGAAAGGGCCATCTCTTCACCAACTCCTTTGTGAGGGGGAGAAGAGTTGAATCAGAGCTCTGTGGTAACCACACTCTGACCTGGGTTGAGGGCTGAGTTTACTTACAGAGCCTGGTCAGTAGTGTTTTACAGATCAGGTTCACCTTCTTTGAAATACCTATGGCTCGGAGCAGCAAGACCCAGAGCACTGTGAACGTTCGATGTGGTAGAACCTGAAGATATGCCCTGCTTCTATTTTTGGCGTCAACATGAGCACTCCACTTGGAGTCTGTTGCCCTGTGAGCAGGAAGAACAGAGGCTTCTAGGAGTTTAAAGCCTCTTGACTGGGACTCCTCTGGGACTTAACTTGGAGACTGTGGTATC